TCTTCTATAACGCTTTTAACAAAATCGGGATACTTCTTATCTGACTGCACACCAAAACTTATTATTGAAATCGTTTGCACGGCGTCTTCAAAACACTCTTCATAGTCAACGGCTTGATCACATAACTTTTTAAACAACTTTCGTCGTGCAGGGTCCAAGCACCACACCACTGTTCGAAAGTCTTTCGCTCTCAAGATGTTCTCTTGATCGCCAAAAGAGTCAAAAATCCCTTTCTTCTGTCTCTCCAGTAGTTGTCGAATCCCCAAAAAGTCTATCGGATTCGTTGTTTCACAAAGTCCACTCCAAAAAAAGTCCAAGCCATCAACACCACTCTCAGAACAGTGTCTTTTCCCTTTCTGTTGTCTGTGAATTACAGAAGAAAGGTGTTTGGACTCTCCTGTCAAGTAATTACTCCTTGGGGTGTCGCACTGAATTCTTGGAGATATGTGTGGTGACAAACTCATCAAAACACAATGTTTTTACAGTCCGCTCTTTTATCAAAATCAAACTCAGTTAAATTTATCCGTTGCTTTTAAAACATTTTCTATATTGATAATTTATTATACTATACTCTTTTTTTAGATGGAGTAGATATTCCTTTACTATATTTATTTCTTAAATTAATTTTGTGCATTGTTTCTACTAACATTCCGTGTGTTTTTTGACTACCAAATCTTCTCATTAATTCAACCCAATTTTCAGGCTCAACTATTGGGTCATTATCCTATTTTATAAGCACATCTTCCCATCTTGGTTTACTAATTTCCTTTTCCATGCAAAATGTGTTGTTTTTTCGTGTTTAGGTCTTGAAAATCCATTTTTGCTTCACTTTTTTAAAAATGCATCCAAGACAGATTCTACTTCTTTTTTTGTTCCAACCCTTTTGCTCAAATTCTATTCATAATCGGCATTTTCATCGCTTCACATGCAATATGAATAATTAACCCGTTAAATTATAGAATTTCTCATTCAAAAGCCCAACTTTGCACCAATTTCAAAACAACAACTTCACACTTTTGATATCAAAAATAACCACTACATAACAAAAGCCATTTCCTATCTATTAAGAAAAAAAACCATAAAAAATAGAAAAAACAATTCTAAAGGTGATCCTCTTATTTGACAGACTAGTTCTGGACAGTTGAGGAGTCCGTCAGTGTTTTCCCCGTATTCCCCGACGCTCCAGCATCCTCCGGACTTGACTCTTCGACCACGAAATTGGTCTCATTAAACACCATCTATGTATTAGTAACTTATTAATTAAATTATAATAATATAATATATTATTAATATTATATATGCTTAATATAAATATTATACATTTTATGTATAAAATAACAAACTGTTGTCATTCCTTGCATATCGAACATGTCAGTAATAATGTTTTTAATAGTCGGAATGTTTGTGATTTCTTCTGCAGTCATTCTTTCGTTAGGCGACTTCCTGAGTAAATTGTCGACAAGGAACAAAATAGGTTGTGAATACTTTTGCCCGATCTGTGGTGGTGAGTGCTTCAATATCTTCTGAACCACTTCCCCAACATTTGACCCAGAAAATGCTCTTGTCAAAGTACAGAGTTCATACAGAATACAACCAAGAGACCACATATCACTTTTGTAACCATAAGGAAGGCCTTTACAGATTTCAGGGGAAAGGTAATAAGGAGTTCCTATTACCGTGTGGGCACTTTCGTCATCACCAGCTAGCATTCTTCCAATCCCAAAGTCTCCTATTTTGACAGTCCCATCAGCCATTAAGAAGATGTTTTGAGTCTTCAAGTCACGGTGGAGAATATGGACGGAGTGGAGATAAGCAAGACCAAAGTTGATCTGTAAGAAGATGTTCCAGACTAAGTCTTCCGGAAGTTGTTCACCCATCCTTTTCTTGATAAATCGAGACAAGTCCCCTCCTCTTGCATATTCCATAATAATGACCAAATTCTTTCGATTGACAAACGAGTCGATGAAGTGAATTAAATTGGAGTGGCACACCCGTTTCATGATCTTCACTTCGTTTGTCGCTTTATCTCTATTGTCGTCGTCAATCGGTATCTTCTTGACTACAACTACATGTCCTTCTAAGTCTCTTCCAAGAAATACTTGCCCAAAGCCACCTTGCCCAAGCTTCTTATAGATCTTGTACGAAGATGCCCTTGTCCCAATCATCCTGCTATGACACTACTGAGTTCTAAAAATCAAAAGACTTTTATTCCATCTATTCTATTTTTATAGCATCTATTCTATTTCCGCTACAGATAGTTATGTTGTTTCTTTTGTTATTATCGATAATCTATATTTTATATGGTTTTATACTATATAGTATAGTTTTGTCATTTGTCCATAAAGTTGAAAACCCTAAGAATAGTTAACTACATTTTAAATTAAAAACTTCAACAACTTTTGATTGAAGTAAACTGGTTTTATGTAATTTTTATATCAGAAATTAACCTTGTTCAATTGTATAACGATATGACAACTTTTTGAATAGAAAAAAATAAGCATTTGTGGCTTAAGAGCAGAATTGTACATTTGAAAGGTGAAGATCAGGGTTCAAGTCAGGCTATCTTTTTATTAAATAAAAATGATTGGAGTGTTAATTAAATTTGAAATAATTCAAATGATTTCCCATAAATACATTTTAACTATAAATTAAAATAAATATTATCATTAATGTTAATTTGTAAAAAAGATTTTAAAGTATGGAAATCAAACCTCAAATATCATGTTCAATATTTGAGATGAAGATTATTATTATTATTTGGTAACTTAAAAAATTAGATGCGTATATCAGAGCAAAACGTCCTTGAATTTTTTGATGTGTCAGGTTCGTCGTCGGAGTACACCGCCGTCTACTTTTTAAAGTCTGCGCAAACCATGGACGAGGCTATTTCAAATTACTTTGACCGTGGCTGCCCAACAATACAAGAGCCTGGAAACTATCAAACGATTTTCAAGTCATCAAAACCCAAACCAGCACCAGCACAAGTATACAAAGGCAATGAGAAACAACTCCGAAATGTCTTTACAAAAGTTGCTCTGGATGGCGTGGTGAGTTCAAGTTGCGAGAACGTCGAGACGTTTTGTCAAGAGTTGAACATTTCTCCAGACGGGTATGAAACTTATGTGTTAGGGTATTTGGGTAAATGTGCCCTTTACCAACACTTCGAAGAAGTACATGTCGCAAACCTTGAGCCACAATTAGTCGGCTACAAAGACGTGAAAGACTTCATTCAGAAGAAGTTCGCTTCATTTGAAGGAGACTCATACTACAAATTCCTCGCACACGTCTATAAATGGGTTTTGATATTACTCGCAGAAGTGAATAAAACAGTAGCACCAGGACAACCACAAACAACAATGACTGACGTTGTTGGAGATATTTATAAGGACGTCCTTAAACCGGAATACCAGACCCCACTATTCGACCAATTCATCGACTACGAACTTCACAGACATAAACAAACACTCAAGGAAAAAAAAATCATGAAGGACGCTTTCTCATTCCTCCCAACGTTTTTGGAGACGTTCAAGACCCTCAAAAACATCCTCGCAATAAAGGACGTCGACGAAAGAGAGGACTTACTCGCACTCCCAACGATCTACACGGACTTCATCATCGATATGAAAGAGAAGGAAAAGAAGAAATAACCGAGTCAATACATTTTTCGTTCCAGAACGTTTTCCTCTTGTTGTGTAATAATTGTTTAGTAATAATCAAATCAATTCCAAATAGTCGCTGTTTACGAACTCGGCTACACTCGAGTATGGAAACAAATAAATTGCGTTTTTCTCAAGGTAAAAGCCTTCTTCATCATCGGGGCTGATTTTGAAATTTGAGATGGGCGATAATATCTTGACAAAGACATACGACGAGTTTCTCTTGATTTCCAAATTCACAGGCTTTTTTTCTTGTATTGTCAAGCCAGACGCAGTCATATAATCATTTCGGATTGTGGAATAAGCCAAAAACACAGTGTTTTCTTCGGGAGTCAGTTTTGCCGTGTCGTTCGATCCCATCCGAGCCATTTGAAGCACTTTCGAAAGGCGGACTTTCAGATAAAGTGTTATGTAATAGTTGATCCGAGTTATTTCTTGTTTAACCAAGTTTACCTGCATTAATAGTGTGCCGTTGATGACATTTTGGTCCATCAGGCCTTCCACGACCTGCTCTTGGTTGAGTATTACCTGTTTGTACTTCGACACGATGTGCTTGTCATACAACTGTATAACAGGCGAGTTTATTTCGTTTTGTATAGTCCGTAAGAATCGTGGAAAGTCAGCGACCTCGTCAGACTGTGTTTGTGTTGTCATCGATTAAGCTTATCAGTTCTGTTGTTCTGCCATTTCTCTCAAATCTCTTATTATAAATAGGAAATTCTATCAAAACAAAATATAGTTTACTATTGTAATATAGTTTATCAAAAAAACGAAAAAAAAGATTTTAAAAATGGAAAGAGCAGAAATTTGAGCGAAAAAAAAGCGCAAAAAACAAAAAACGAACTGAAATACACAGAAACCCTTTGATGATTTCTTTGTCGTGTGTATGCTCAAATGTGACAGTCACATTGAAGCAGAAACAAATTGTCACTCCACAGATCAAATGGCTGAATCCAATGACGGGAATGGGAAAGCTTGCATTTAAATACAACTCAATGACACACTCGACCCAAATCAGCAAGTGGTCATTGGTAAGGTGCAACTGTTGTGGGACTGACTGTGCACTGATCAGCGATGGCGAGGTCATCGTCAACCCGATCATGAAGGAGTCTGAAACCCTGAGAAAAAATCTGACGTTTTCGAACTCGTTTAATCTCTATGTCGACCTCCAAGCAACGAAGTCCAAACCACAAACAGCTCAGAGCTCGTATGTGGGGTCACTATCACTGTCGGCTGTTAGAGACCCAACCGAGAAGGAATTACTTGGAATAAAACAAAAAAGAGTCGAACAACTCTTCCAAGAAAAAGAACGAAAAATTAGGGAATTTGTGATGGAACAAGAAGAGTTGTACGAGAGCGAACGACGAAACGTCAACCTCGAGTTTGACGCCATCAAATCGAGGTTAGAGTCTGTTTCGACGGAGCCACCCAAAATCACAATGACGCCCAATACGTTACCAAAGAGTAAGAGTGGGGGCGACATTTTTGACATGGACGAGGACTTTGACAGTTTGTTTATATTTTTAAAACAACCAGCCCCAACGACTATTCCATTGTTTTTAAAGCGCACTAAAATGCAGTCGACGAGGACACAAAAGAAACCAACCCAACAAATTCGGCAATCCAGGAACATACCTCACCACAATTTGCGCGGGCATGCCCCGTCGACTCAAAACGAGCAACACAACATATGTCGCCAATACAGTCACCGTACGAGAGTCCCACAGGTGTTTTCACATCCAACGCCCAACACATCAAACAAAGCCAGCACGTCAAAATTAAAGACGATTTCCCATCAACATTTAAGGAGTACACAATCAGTTCGTTGACGAGGACAGAGACACTGCCCGTTTCAAGCTCGTTTATCGGGGCGAAATACCAATTCTGACACAACCCAGAAGCACCCCTGAATTCATTGTGTAAAAATCCATTTTTTTATTATTTTTTGTTACTAGAAAGAACTATACTACACAGTGTGTTCTATTTTTATTATAAGTTTGTATTATTGTTCAAAAATATTAATGTTTTACAATACCCGTTTGTTTGAAAATATCAAGCAATTTATAATATAATTTATTATTATATATAGTACTTTACATAACATTTTAATAAAATAATATTTCGATAAAACAAAATTTCAATTAGTAAGATAATTACAACAAATACTATTCGAACTGATCACAAAAGACGGAATGTTCTTGAAAGGAACTTAAAAAAGGTTCTTGAACTGTAATATTTTATGCCAAAGCAAAAACAGGGGAAAATCGACAAACAGAAAGAAGAGGAGAATGAAATGAAAAAGATGAAAGTTGCTGGTATTACTAGCAAATTTTTCTACACATTCAAGATGCCGAGTTTTGTAGGGATGATAATGACGATTGCACTGATCAGCACTGCACTTGTACTTCCTCTTATTGGGAAAGGTCCGAAGAAGACAATTAGTTCGATCAAAAAGATGTTAGGCGACTCATTACCACTCTTTGACTTGGACGAACTCAACTTGGAGGATGTGTACTATTATTTAACACTGTCGGATCGAGTCAATTTTACAGCGAAATTGCCGGATTTGGAACTGCAAGATTTGAACATCAAAGAACAACCAATAAGTAATTTGTACTACTTGACAATGCTTGCGGAGAAATATGAATTGGATCTGGATGACTTTGTGAACGAGACAACGAAATTCTACAAGGACTACGCCTTTATTGATGACTTGGAAATGGACGAGGAAAATTTAGAGGGAACTGTTATTAAAAAGGCAAAACCTCAAAGTGTCGAGGCGTGTTACTACGCCGTGCAGATCATGAAGAAGACTGGAGAATTTAAAAAGTTTGTAGGTACGGAGGAATACGCCAAAATGATTAAATTTGTATTGAAAATGCAAGCGACGTCTGGGCTGTTGTACAACAACAAGAACACGGAGACTGATATGAAAATATTGAAGTACGCCATCGAGCTACTTTCTGAAGCAAAGAGATACGACTTGTTTCAAAAAGATGTGTCGAGTGCACTTGACAGAATTAAGGTTGTTTATGACGTTACTCTCAATTTGGATGGGAGTTATGATTTCTATTTAGAAGACAACCCCTCATGTTTTGGTACTGCTTATGGAGTGTTAGGAAGAAAGTTACTTGGCTTGTCTATAGAAGACACTACAAGGCAATACTTGACTTCATGTGTAACAGAGAAAGGTGCATTGATATATAGAGATGAGAAAGAGACTGATGTAGAGACTGGACTAGCTATTGACTTAGCTTTAAGTGGTCTAACAGAGATTCAAGGGAGTACCAAAGAAGGGGTATCGACGGTGTCTTGTGTGTTTATTGGAGTCGCTGTCATCTCATTTTTATCCAATTCGGTTGATACAAACACATTAAAAGAAGTTATAATAACATATTCGATCTTCATTCTTGGTAATGTTGTATCGTATGTGTTCAGGGAAAAGACTTTACAACTGTTCTTGGTAGTCCCCACACTCATATCTCTTGTGAAATCTATACAAAGAGTTGAGTCGTGGAAGAAGCACGCTATGTTTTGGTTGATCACTTTGACTCCAGCCAGTGTCATTGGGTGCGTAACATACCTTATTGATGCATTCTTCCCAGCACTCATCGTCTCAATGAGTGCCGAATATCTCGTCTTCTTTGTTTTGGCCGTCGTGATGTATTTCAGTCAAATTGTATGTTACCAACTCTTCGGAGAAAAACACAAAAACATGTGGTACATCGACGCGTCACAAATCGCGTTCCATTTCGCGTTCATTGTCGCTGCGCTTATGCTCGGAGCTTCCGATAATATCGACTTCGTCTTCTCCACAATGCAACTAACAGGGTCAACTTCATATTTCTTGGTTGGTGTGCCTTGTATTGGTTATGCACTCGCCTTAGCTGCTAACATTTTCTCGGTACCAGCTGTCTCTATTGCAACACAGATCTTGGCAAAATCAGAGTAATTTTAGTATGGGTTTAGTATAGTTTATTTTAATCGAGTGTTTGTTTATTAGTAATGAATTATTTTTTTTATTTATTAATAATATAATAGTTCTAAAATTAATATTTATAATAAAAAATTATTAATTGCTCAAATAATTAGATTAATAGTTTTTTTATTCTTGTTATTTATTTTACAAAATGTATGGTTAAAGAATAAAAACAAGCACTTTAAAACCCGATAAATAATTATCGGGTCAACAACTATAATTTTCGACCAAATATTAATTTATTATTTGGTTAATTATATTTATGGGATGCTCCTCCGTCGCATCCCTCCATTTTTTTTTCATAAAGTCAGTCTGGTAACGGGACTTACATTGACCACCACCACCTTTACCAAAAATAATATTTGCCGCGAGTGTTTTTTGAAGGAAGTCCACTTTTCAGCCACTGTTTGTGTGG